TGCTCTCCCCCCCCCCCCCCCCCCTGTTTTTGTAGGTGAGCAGGATCTGGCTGGGGTCCAGAGCTGGCCCCTACACAGAGCTATGGGAGGCTTCTTGCCCACTTGGCCCTGCAACCTGCCTTCCTGCAAGTGACCCCACAGGGATACTCCTAATTTAAAATGTGTTTGCCAAGTCTGTACCAGTTTCACTATGACATTAAAACTGTGCATGTTCAATAACGTAGTGTTGCATGAGCCAGATACTTCCTACTCACTAAGCCTGAAGAAGGGAGCAGGTTCTGCTCTCATCTGCGCTCTCGTGGATCAGGAATGTGGCCATGTGTCAGTGAACCTGGGTCTCCCCTTCCATTCAAAAGCTCCTGCATACGTAAGAGTCACTGGGCTGAAGGGACCCAAAGGCTGCCCTTGCTTAGCAGTCTGCACCTGTCTCTATTTGTGGAATCTTTTTCAGTAGTATTATTATTCAGTAGCTTTGCCAGCTAGTTGCCCAATTTACTACCTGAAAACATCTGACGATAAGAGTCCAGCTTTGAGCCTGAAGGCTTGTGCAATGCTACTATCCTTTGCTCCTCAGAGTCCTCCTTTAGGCAGTTTCCTGCCTTCTCCAATGACAGGGCCATCTGAAGCTCTCCAAATCTCTTACACAATATCCAAGGGAATGTATACAGAGCTAAGGTATGTAATGGCATTGTCTCTTTCCCTGTCACACCAAACAGACTCGGTTTTGCTTACATAAGGGCAGTCATCTCACTGGGCTATGCCCAGGTACCACCGATACTTCTCTGGGTTATTCTCTTGGACATCAAATGCAATCAGCTTCCTAGGAATTACTCCAGTTTTTCATGCCTACTGTGCTACAGCCGCAGTGCTTAACGGCTCAGCAGGCTCTGTGTTTATTCATCAGTCCCAGTTTCTACAAGAGTTTCTACAAGCCTTCAAAACTTTTATCCAATGCTATTCTATTATTCTGATCCTCCATCTCCCTTTCTGCTCTCTGTATAAAATGAATCAGTTAGTTACAAAAAGAAAGTTTATATGTCCTGGGTTTGTATCAGCTGAAAACAATACTCATGCAAAATCTGATGTGCATCATGGGATCAAGTGCAAACTTCAAGTCTGGTGCCGCACCTAGCTCTCAATCTGGCAATGCCCCTCTCTTCTCTTTCCAGAATGGCTGTTCTCAAAGCACTGCAACCACTGTGGGTTACAACCCTCAGGATTCATATCTTACCGTGCACCTCCTAGGGCCCACCTCACCTGCTGGTGCTCAGATCCAACAGGCCATGGGAAGAGGTGATTAAACAAAGCCTTGTTTTTCACAAAGAATGCCTGCACATGCCCAAACCATGAGGAAGTTGGATGGGACTCCCGTGTATTAAGTGCTAACATTTGACCCTTCCTCTTGAGGTGAGAGAGCAGTTACATTCTGCACATTTGTTTTTATAATGGCAAAAGTGCCTTTTCTTTTATTACTTTCCATGATTGAACTGCTTGTGCTTAAGCTTCCCAAAATGGCCCCCTTGGACAGAAACCAGACTGCAAAATGTCATCATAGAAGTTGGGAGTGTAATGAAACTATAAGTAACAGGAAAAGACCCTTCAGCTGTCATCAAATAAATTGGGTCTAATATGTGGTTTGCGATGTGAGCAATTTTAAAGTGTTAGACATCACTTGCAAAAGCACAGTCCCATACATTCAGCCCAGCAGGGCAACACTGGCTATGCAAAGCTTTCCACTGGCCCTACCACTCTGTATGCATACAATGGGGTATCTTGCATGCCAGCTGTGCCCACTTTTATTGAGTAAGCTTATCAGTTCAGGAGACATTAAACATACTTCTGCCCGCTGACTGTATTGCCAGTGTTTGCCATGCTATCACAAATGTCACAATACTTTACTCAAACCTCTAGCTCCTGGAGTCCTGTGATTAAATTGCTTGCCTTTTTGTGGCAGGCAACATAAAATCTGAGTGCTTAAAGAAATGAAAAGAAAATAAAGGAAAGAACCAGCACTGATCAGTTTTAAAACCTTGTGATCATGTTGACAGTCATGATTTTTGTCACCTCACTCAAGATTTCTTAATGCTTGATGCTGCCAATACTGTACAAAGAAGGCTTCTGTTGCTGGCTACCATGATCCAACCCTTTAGAAAGGCAGCTACATAAGAAAGGGGTGGCAAAGGGACATGCAAGGCGTAGCATGCAGCGCCTGAGCCATGCTGTTAGTGAGTTGCTGTGCTGCTAGTTAAACAAAAGATGCATCACAGTCCTTGAGATTAGCTAGTAGCCATAAGAGATGAAAGTAGCACAGCCTTTGGAAAACTGTGATCTTAGCAGTGACCCCAAAGGAACCCATGATGATACAGAAAGGTACCAGGATAATCCGCTACCTGGGTCCTAGCTAACCACAGACTCATGCACGTGGAGGATGAACTATGTCAGGAAGGGGTTATCTACTGAGCAAGGCTGAGACCCCAATGTCTCTTCTCCAGTGGTGGTACTGGTTTAATGATGATGTGCAATGCAGGTTCAGAAGGAGATCATTTTCATTTGCTTACTTTTTGGGCTCTAGCACCATACCAGTGGGTTCAGCTTTCTGATGCTTAATGGTTACATAACAATGCTGGGCTGGAGCTTGTCCTTCTGACTTGGATGCAAGGTTGATGAATAGGGTCAGAGAAGTGAAAGCACAGACATCTCCAGGCATTCGGCAGTCTCTGGCAGGCCAGCTTAGATGGGGCTGCACTAGCCTCAAGCATACACTTCCAGTTCTGCCCCTGTGGGATCCTGGCTAGGCACAGGCACGGCTCTGGTCGTCAGTCTCACTGATCTGGGGGCGGCCCCTCAGCTATGGGTCCAAAGCAGTTAATCCACTGCTTCCTTCTTCTAACAGCCTTCTAGCATGGGCTCCCTCTACTTCTTCCTCTTTTTGTGGGCCTAATCCTGCCACATCCTGGAAACCCTTCAACTGGCTTTTATGTGAGAAGCTTGCCTGCATGAAGTGCTTTCTGAGTATCCTGCTTAGAGTTGGATATGCCTGTCCTGTTACAGTGACCTCAGGGACAGAGATTTGTGCAGCTGGATTTTCAGATGGTGTAGTTCAGCAGCTCTCCTGACTTCAGTTTAAGCAGCAGCATTTTAACTTGTGTGGCAGATGCTGGGCTCCGTTTTACAGCACCAGGAATCACAGTATGGCTGCAGGGCGGGAAGCAAAGTCTACCCCGGTAACAATCTGCTCAGAGCTGAGGGAAAGTCTGAGCAGGCAGATAGTGCCAAACACAGTGCCCTAACAGTGCCCAAGATGAATGCAGCCCCTCTGAGCCAGGACTGGGTGAAAAAAAAAGCAGAAAAAGATACTCACGTGGCATAATTCCCTGGTCTGCCAGCTGTTCACGGGTCCTTCTCTGCTGAAGCCGTAGCTGTAAAACTGTGAGAGAAAGAGTGTCAGGAAGAGATGCAGTCTTGATTCGAGACACTAGCACATCCATTAGCGATGAATTACTGGGGACTTTGTGTATGGCGCAGAGACCTGCTACAGCTCCATGTTGCTGCTGGACCAGCCTTGGTGAAGCAGAGTACTCTAAGCCAAGGAGGACTGCTAGGGGGAAGTTTGTTAGTCTACACCAGCCCAGACCTCAACTCTTGCATACAGACAAGCAAGGCAGGGCTGGTTCTTGTGCAGGTGGTACACTAGTGGCTGGGTCAGACTCGGATCCCTTCCTGGTGCCTGTAATAGCTGCCTTAGGTGAACAATGATTCCCCTCAAAAATTTACTCAGTCTGTGTGTGGGCAGAGGGCACTGACATGGGAATGAGGCTAGGTTTGAGCTTCTGTCACTGCCTCCTGCATTGTCACACCAGGCAATACAGGTCAACTCTCCTGAAAGGTGCACAGCAATAGAAGAAGAGACAATGGTCGCGAGTTGCAGCAAGAGAAATTCTGACTGGATGTAAGGGAAAAAAAAAATCACCATGAGAGTGATGCTGGCTTAGAAGAGGAGCCAGGAAAGGCTGAGGGATATCCATCCATGAGCTAATCTAGCTTTGAAGCTGGGTCTGCTTTGAATGAGAGGTTGGAGTAAAGAGTGCCAAAGGCCCCGTTCTGACCTAAATTTGTACACAATTCTGTACTTGAGTATGTGTACATGTAACTGTGTGCATGGGCTTCAAAGTGGAAGGCAGATGAGCTCCCATATTCCAGAAGTCTTTACGCCTCTGCCTAAAGTAGAAATTTCTGAGATCCTTCTTAGAAGTGGTAGGTGCCATCGTTGTCCTTGGTGACCCAGGACTGCCATGAATGCAAAAGAAATGTTCAATGTGTGCTTAAGAATAGAAAGGATGAAGCTGAAAATAGAGCAAAAACTGTCTGCCACTGATATTGCACTAAAGCTACCAGCTATAGGTACATCATGTGACCCTGTAAGCCAACATGAGATTATGGCTTCCAAGGGGTTGGGTTTTTAGGCCTGTAGAGACTGCATATTTTTGAGCACTAGAAGAAGCCACTTCTCCATGGGTTTTGGGCAGCTAAGGTGCGATGACTGCCCTTTTACCGAGCCCTTGCTACTAGGAGCTTTTATGCAAGTGCCTGTGCCATGCCACTGGCTCTGCTGTGCTAGGGCCAATGCTTGTACCCTTCTCTTGAGGCATAAGGTACTGTGGGATGCTGCATGGAGGAACCCAGAGTGGGATGAAGAAGTTCTGAAAGCCTGAGGCCATCTTCTGATATCTCTGAAAGTGGGAGGTCTGAGACATTACCTAGCTGAGCGCATTCATCCCCCTGCACCAGCACTGTGGGGTAAGTAGAGCTTCCTAGATCCCTTACGCTCTTGAGGGCATGGAAATGAACACATTTCCAGTGCGGCAAGGCTCTGCTTTGGCAGCAAACATGCTTACTGTATTAGAGAGATGTAGATAATGTGGTAAGGAGAGATTAGTGCCATCCCTTTGTGAACCAACTGCTCCAAGGATCTAGCAATCTTCAGTATAACTTCCTTTTGGAAACAAAGCTCTGACAGATAGGAAAGGACCATTGATCAGAGTTACCAAATAGCTTATTGGCATAGCCTCCACTACAGAACATCTACTAGGCAACCAACAAAGAAGGGACTCACTGAAGCACCTCTCATTACCTACATCATTGAAAGACAGCCCACCGTAACCTGCAGCTTGCCTTGTGCAATGATACAGCCATGTGTAGCCCAGGACTGCAAAAGCTAGATCTTTGCAGTGCTCTGATAACACTGCCTATACTTTGAGGTCGTAGCATATTCTGCATATTCTACCCCTTTTCTTTGCATATTCATCTTCTTTTTGTGTGTGCATGTATGTCAATCTCTTCTCCCACAAACTAAAATATAAAAATCACTTCCATGTTTTTTCTGCTGGAAACTGAGTAGACCTTGCAACAGGAGCACATATCTTTCAGTGGTCACGTTATAACTGCACACACATCTCCTGCCTACCAACACAGCCCTGGAGAGAGACCCTGGCTGCTTTGAATGAGCTGGTATTGTAGGGGGAAGACAATGAAGGGCAGCTCTTTTGTCATGAGTAACTTGCAGTAACTCATCTCTGCCAACAGCTACCATGCTTCACATTCAAAGCAAATATTTAGTGAAAGCTTCACATGGAACAATGATCTGCCAAATTCTAGCCCTTCTTAGCACAGCTAAAATAGATTCTTACTGCAAGGGAAAATGCAGCCTCTAGTACCTGGTGAATTCTGCATGCATGCTGTTCCCCCGATATGCCAGAGCGAAGCTGATGGCTAGAAGTCATTTGCAGACCTTGCCTCCAGGGAAGTCTGTACTCATCCGTTGCCCTATGGCACCATCCCCAGTCAGTGCTGGTTTTGCCTACAGACAGAGATTTAGACTCCTGTGCTGTAGGTGTCTACATCAGATCCAATTATCTGCATTCCTTTCCCAAGAATCTTCCCCCGTTCTGGGACTTCAAATCCAAACTAGAAAACCCATGCTTTAGCAATGCCTGGTTTTCCTCCTTCACTATAGACGGAGTTTACAAAAATCAGCTCATTTTAGAAGTCTTATGCAGGGTGAGGTAGACCCCAGGTTCTCTCTGTAGGTTCTTCTCAGTCATCAGTCACAGCATCTGAATAACCATGTATGGCTTTGCACTTCCTCCGAGGAGGAGATTTATCTTCATTGAACAGGTGGGCAAAAGGAACTGGAGATTCTCCAAAAATGTAAGAAGCCCTGTAGTTCATCCAAGAATGGTATCAACTCTCCTAGGTCCTGGTCCAGTGTCCCAGGCATTACGGTATCTACTGTAAACTGAGGCAGTTTGCACACAACATTCCATCATCAAACAAGAGACAGAGGTAGCAAAGTCTTCTAGTGTCACATAGAACACCATACAAAGGAGATGTTACCAATTCCCTTGAAGCACAGCTTGGAAGGAGATCCAGAATGCCAGTGTGATGGCTGTAAGATTCAGCTATTGGCTTGATGTGAAGAGTGCTGAAAAACATGTAGATTCCTCTGCCAGATCTCTCTTCTTGCCTAGAGCCAGGAGCAGCACTCAGGAACCCAGATGTCACATCTCACTGCTTTCTAGCAAATCGTGCACAATCCAGAGGGGCCTATCCTCTTGCAGCTGGCCTGTGCTTCATCTCCTGTGCTGAGCACTGCTGATAAATCCATTGCAGAAGAGGCACCTTCCAGATTTTATTCAGTGATAATTTTATGTCGTGAGAAAATGCCTCCAAATTGTTTTTTATGTTCACAGGCATAAAGCCTGTGACCCAGCAGTGAGAAAATATTTTTGCAGGTGGGGGCCAGGCTCTTCTATGGGTGAATGGCTGTGGCCTGGCTGTTCTGTCCAGGCCATGCAACTTCCCCAGACACATGTTTATCTTCAGCAGTGCTGACCTTATAGACTTAACCTTCCTGGCCCATTCTGGAGCCACAGGAGGTTTTTCCAGAGCAAGGAAGAAAAGTCCATCTAGCCTTATCTGTTCAGGGCAACCTGATGGAAAGTGCCAGGACAGACACACACAAATGCTGGCCATTTCTAGCAGCAACCCAAACTTGATGGGAGCAGTGATTTCAGTCACTTCAGCCAAACCTACACCAAATCATGCAGCAGGATATGCCTCTCAGTTCACAAATGTCAACTCTATGAACTCCCAAATCCTGTTGTAAACCATCTGAAGAAGCATAGCCACGGACAGTGTCAGAGAAGCTAACAACAGTGATCATCCCTGCAGGAAGTAAAGCAGTCACTACTATCAACAGCCTTCAAGCCAGTTCTGCAGCTCATAGCTTGGCAGACACCACTCAAGGCTTGCATTTTTCCCTCACAACCAGCAATCCTTAAAAACAGGTCTTGAAGAGCCCCTGGCACCATCCAAACAACTACCATTTAGCTGTTTAGTGAAGAGTAATTGAAATCTGTTCAAGCTATCTCTGACCCCAGCTGCATTCCTGTCCTCTCTCTCATGCTACATATCTGGAGGCCAGAGCTCTGAGTGCTGTCTGTGAATCACTTCAAGGATGGTGTCATCCTCATGTAAAGGAATGATTTTTTTTTTTTTCCTGGAAACTCCTTTACTACTACTTACTACTCAAACTTCAGAGTAACATTTATGTTAGAGTGCTGATGGAGTGCTGATGGTGAGACAATCTTGGTCCCACAGCCCACAGCATCCCTGCTACTGTCTGCACCAGCTTGGCTGCTCAGAATCACAGAATGGTTGAGGTTGGAAGGGACCTCTGGAGATCATCTAGTCCAAGCCCCCTGCCAGAAACACCCCAACTCAAAGGAGCAGTCATGCAAGTGGGTGACCTTTTGGTACAGAGCTGTGCTGGCTCTGCTGCTCACAGCTGAGAGACAGCTACGCTCTCAAAGACTCTACTCAGTCCTATACCCCTCTTCCCCCTGAGAAATCCCTTCCTAGATGATGTGAGGCATGTCAGAGTTGTTCCAGTTGACTCTGCTCAGGATCTTTTTCTATTAGAAGTATCCCTCTCTTCTATGCTAGCCCCAAACCCCATTTAGTGACTGAGCTTCTGGAAGCAAACTCTGCAGAGGGACTGTCTGCTATACAGAGAAGTCCTCCTGGCTTCAGTCATAGCTAGCTTTGGTGGCCCATGCTCTGAGAACTGCTCATGACTTGCAGTCATGAGTCATCCTTCTCCCTAGGATTTGACCTCAGAGTGGTAGGAAGCTAAAAGGACAGCTTGGGCCTTGCCTAGCTTTTTGAGGCACTGGAAAAGACATGTTCAAGTTATTCCCCTAGCCCAGCACCAGGGAGACCTGTACTTCTACTTCAGTCTGAAGTGGCAGCTAATCTCTGTGGCCTGAGTCAGCAGACGCTTGAGCCTTGCTGCTCTTAGCTGACTGAGTCCTGCGTATGCCTTAGTGAGGGATTCATCTGACTGCATAGCTGTTGGAGTTAACATCT